CAGATCCATTGGGATCCCGCTGGCTCCCGCTCCCTTCCCGGCTCCGCACCCAGCTCCTGCAGCGGCTTCTCCATGTCGTCCTCGGTGAAGACGCGGCGCGGGAAGGGCGTGAGGAGGCGGAAGGGCTCCGGCGCGCCGCTCCGGTGCAGCTCCACGTAGAGCCGCACGGCCGCCAGCTGCTCCCGCGCCCGGAACGTCTGCGTCAGCGACGAGCCGTCCAGGAGCCGCACCTGGGAACGCACGGACGCCTACGGAGCCCGCCCGCAGCGGCGGCGCCGGCTCTCGGCCGGATTCGGGATCAGCTCCCCGCTCTCCCGCTGGACACCGGGATAAGGATCGATCCCAGCTGTGGCATCTGGTGCCGGGATAAGGATGGATCCCGGCCGCGGGATTTGCCCTCCCTGCACTGGGATGTGCTCCCTTTGGCCCCGGGATCCCCTCCAGCCTTGGGATCTGCTCCCACTTCCCGCCCCCCCAGCCCCGGAATCCCACCCTGGCACTGGGATTCTCCCCTCCAAACCCCAGGACCCTCCACCCCCCAGCACCAAGATTCCCCCTTCCCAGGGATGTTCCTTCCCAGTACCAGGATCCACATCCAGCAGTGGGAATTCACCATTCCCAAGCACTAGGAGCTTCTCTCTCCCTCGTTCCCACAAGGGGATCTCCCTCCCTCCCTCCCAGCGCTGGGATTTCTCCCTCGCCACCCTCAGCGCCGGGATCTTCCCCCACCCTGCACGAGGGCACCGGGATTTCTCCCTATCCCGCGGCTCCGGGCGCTACCTGGATGCGGCACTGGTCGTATTCCCGCTTGCTGGGGGGCTCCTGGCTGGGGGACGAGGGCGCCGCGGCCGGCGGCGGCTCCGCRGAGCCCTGCGCAGCCGCTCCGAACTGCGGACAGAACCAGCGGAGCTCGGAAACGCGGGAAAACGCCGGGAAAACCGCCGGGAGACACAACCCGACCTTCCCGCGGCTCTCCCCCCGTTTCCCACTCACCTTTTTGGCCCGTTCCGCCTTATCCCGCTCGATCTTCTCCCGCACCCGCTGCCTGCGGGACGAGGAGCGGATTGTGGCGGGGGGGGACGCGTTCCCGCCGGCATTCCCGGCATTCCCGGGCCTCACCTGGCCAGCTTCTCCTCCATGCGGTCGCGGCGCCGCTGCTCCGCCAGCTTCCGCATCTCCTCCTCCTGGAGCCGCTGCCGGAGCAGCGACAGCTCCTGGCCCTGCTTCCGCCGCTGCTTCTCCCGCTCGATCGTCTCCCGCTTCTCCCGCTCCTCCCGCTCCCGCTGCTTCTGGGCGATCAGCTCCATCATCCTGCGGGCAGGACAAGCGGGAGGCTCCGGGAACAGGCGGCGCCCTCGGGCGCCCCAATTCCCGCTCCGGGGTCCCGGCATTCCGCTGGGATTTTTCCCACCTCTTCGTCTGCTCCTTCCTCTCCTCCTCGGACAGCGGCTGCTTCCCGTCTTCTTCCAAGGCTCCGGCGGTACCTGCCGGCACCGGCGACACCGGGAGCGCGTTGTTGTTGTTGTTGTTGTTGTTGTTGGGGGGGGGTTGTCGCTCCCGTTACAGCCGCCGGTCCCGCTCCCACCTGCTCCGGCGGCTGCGGATTCCGGTGCCGGCGGCTCCTCCAAGGGCTCGTCCAGGTCGGGATCGTCCTCGTGGGCCACCAGCCTGTGGGAAATGGGGGGTGTTACGGGCCGGGCGGTACCGGGACCAGGACCGGCACCGGTTCCGGTCCTGGGATCGGGACGGGGGCCACACGCACCAATCCATGGCCGGCTCGATGCCCTGGTTGCCGGTGAGAGCCAAGGCCTTTTCCCTGCGGGAAGAGAGCG